TTTGACCATATTGGTAGCCATTCTCTGCAGATATTCGAGCACCTTCCTATTTCGCTGCAGCCATGGGTTCCGGGTCTGAATTGAGTACTCGGTGTATGGAGAGACAGACGTGGAAACAAAGCCAGCTCAAACGATCCAAAACCACGTTTAAACAGTCCAGCCTGTTTTATTGCCATGGGCGATGCTCTGGAACAGTGTGTGGAGCAACTCAAGTCTGTACAAATGGCTACTCCCAGATCCTTGGATGGAGCATAAGACAGAGTTTCGTGTTCGAGAGTGTAGGAAGAACGACCATTGTGACGTAGTGATACGACTTTGCATTTGGTGACGTTGAATTCCATGTCATTGGGGACAGATCATCTGTGGGCTTCGTCGAGGGCGTTCTGGAGATCAAATGAATCTTCTGGTTTTGTTATTGTCCTCCATATTTTGGCATCGTCTGCAAAATGCAGAGTTTGTGGTCCGAGGACATCTGGAAGATCATTCATAAAGGCAAGGAAAAGACGTGGACCTAGTACAGACTCCTGTGGAACCCCACGATTGACATCTATTGATCGGATCATAAAGTGCATCGGAAACACCAAATGACATGGTACATAGTCGAAGAGATTTCTCGACCTGTTCAATTACTAGTCCACGGATTCCATAGTTATATAGCTTCCGTGTCAGTGTTTGATGATTTACCCTATCAAATGCCTTAGAGAAGTCCAGGTAAATAACATCTACCGCTTTGCCTTGGTCTACAGCATGGGTCCAATCGTCCCAAGCTAAAATAGAGTTATTTACACACGACCGATTTTTCTGAAACCTGTGCTGGGCTGGGGATAGTTAGCCATTATTTTCCGGATGATCCATTACAGAATCCGCAACAATGGATTCTATGACTTTGGACAACACTGGAAGGAGAGCGACGGGTCGGTAGTTGGCTGGGTCACTACGGCATCCACCTTTGTAAATTGGTGAAATAACACCGTTTTTCAGCAAATAATGAAGCTCAGTATCTTCAAACAATTTTTGTTATCGGCTGTGACTTACCAGGGTGATAAGGGCTCGTGGATGTATGTTTTCTAGACCCGACGACGAGTTCCTCTTTTAAGCCAGAACCTTTGCCTTTACCCTTTCGGGATAAAAGATGATATCTGGATAATATTTAAATGCGACTTGTGGAACTATCGAACTGTACGGATTGTATCTTCTTTAAATATTGATCCATTCGCACCTGATCGAATTAACGATTTGGGCCAGATGGAATCAAGTCTTTTATGAATGACCGACAAATTTTTCACTCGGGCCAATGTCCGGTTTTGTTGGTCTCACCTTGTATCAAATGTGTGTATCATGTACTCATTCGTCGAATCGTTCTTCAATTTGAATTTTCATACAGTATCCTTATTGATATCTTGGGGAGTTGTTTCAAGAACAGCCGTCAACGGATTATTGTGATGATTCTATAGTATTATTTTTTGCAGATGAGATACTTTTAATCCCAGCAAAACGACTTTCCGGTCGACTTTCGATGTTTTAAACTACTTTGAGTTTAGTTGACTGTTCCACATTCCTGGACATCTCAATTCGTATTTAAACTTAGCCAAACTCGTTAATCGGCAAAATTGATTCGAAAATTCATGTGAATACTATCCGCACTATTTTGTGGAGAAATCCTCTTCGCACATAGCTCTTCTCCCAAATATCTTTCATTTTAACTGTCACTGTCCACGTGCCCCAATTTATAGGTAGTAATCTCCCGATCACATTGAGGTTTCATTTGGAAGTTCACGATTTATCGTTTTTTTCTGATCGCATCTGTCAAAGATATGATCGGCATACGTATACATTGATTCTTTTGTGAGNGACTCAGCGCGTTCAACCTTTGAATTTATGCTTGAAAGTCCCGCTATTTCTTATCACAATACATCAATGAACCAAATAATCGCGCCCCCCCCCAGTTGACATGCGCTCATCGTTTTTACCTGTCTTACCCTCTGTTCACGTAAAAAAAGTGGAGGAACCACCGGAGGAGGTAGCGTACGAAGCGGCAAGCGATGTGGACTCAGATGATGCTCGATGGAACGGTGAGGTGAATGCGGACGCTGCAGATCCGGATGAATTAGACGAAGAGGAGTTGGATAACGACTATTGTCAGAACTATTTTGATAATGGCGAGGCCGACTTCAGTGATGATCTCCAGGGCGGAGACGATGACGATGGTGGTGGCAGATACTATGACTAATACACACAACCTTACAAAGCGGTTTTTGCTTTCCACTCTCGTTTCATCCTTTTCATCTTTATTTTTGTATATACAATAAAGAAACTCGACAGTATGTTTAGTATCTTTTATAGACGAGTAAACATGTTACTTGCAATCGAAGTGTCGCATCCTTGTTACTTTGAAGTATAGCTTATTGGATGTGTTTCAGACTTTCAGTTAGGACAAGTGTTGTGCATATCCTTCGATCGTCTCCCTCGCCGTGTTTTTTACGCATTTGCTCCTTTAGTGCATAAGAAGCTGCTTGGAGGTAAAAACTATAATGTGAACGTTGGATGTGACAAATTCAATCAGGAGACTAGGCAAAAGTGAAATGAGAGGTCTTTGTTGAAACGATTTTGGAAAGTAAAATGGCACGACTTATGATTGGAACAATTTCTCTGCATCTCAACTGATGCTGCACGTTAGAAAGAATAATCTTTCGAGGTTGTTTGTGGGTAGCAACATGTAAACAAAACAAACCCTGGTGGAACAAATGAACGAAAAGTTCATTTTTAGGATCGAGAATTGGTGGGTTTAAGCGTTTGATGGTGTGTGCCTCGGCACACTTAGAAGTAATGCATTTGGTGCTCTGTAAGTGAACCCAAGTGCTGTGCTGTGGTCGGCTTAGTGTTGCATCATCAGTAGATGTCGAGCGATCGGTGGTGCGGGTTTTTAGTGCTGTTATTATGATGGTTCGAAGTTAATCTGGACTTCACAGTTTGCATTGTACCCAGTTTGAAGTATACCCAACCACCCGGTCATACAGAAGGCTCCGTGACCGAATTGAACTTTCAGTTAGCCCATAGATTCAACCGTTCTGTTACGTGGGTTATGTATGACTACTCCGGTCGTCTAGTAGGCAATGTTCGGGTCAATTGCACAGTTTGTCCGAGCGGTCACTATTGGCCTGAACAGAATGAGAATGATCATTCGCTGTTTAGGTGCCTGTACAATATGGCTCGTTTCAACCCTCATTTGACTAATGTTTAATAAAAAACGTCTTGGGTCAACTGTCTTCATTCTTAAATCCATATTTACGTATTGGGTATTTATCCGGTGATCAGTGAGTTCACTATTCCTGCCCCCAGTTATTACGTCAGTTAGGATAGTAATGAAGTAACTTGGACACGTTTCACTGATTGGAAAACGTACTGCACTTTAAGGCACTCCTTTGCGGTCTTTGCGAGGATGAACTCAAAAATCCACGGTGGACATGGAAGCGGAATATGAAAAGTGTACTCAGGAGTTTAGCTGGATAAAGCGTCTTTCACCTTAGGGGACTGGGGGTCCAAAATTTGTCCAACGATTGAAGACTAATTGTTTTGACGATTGAATCTATGCATTCTTTTTAATTCTTTGTTAGAGGAATCAATCGTTTGTAAACGCGCTATGTATGTGTAACAAAATATTTACCTTTATTTTCTCTTTCTTGCATGTTTATGGGTCGATGATTTCGCGGGTTATGTTGGAAACAAATACAAATTCACTACAGAAATTGGTTCATTCAGAGTAATGAGAAACATGAACTGATCAATAGAGACGTGATTTATATTTTCACCTTTTCGGGTAAACGCGGTAATGCGAAACGATCGATTCCATAAAAAGCGAAATTAAGGGCCTCTCATCTACTATCGACTGACCAGGTTAAGAGCAATTAATCTAGTTCACGAATTAATTGTACGATGAACGTTGTTGTGTACAGAGCAAGTGAAGCCTAGGAAACTATTTCAACCTTATTGGATCTCATCAGTAGTGCGAATTCATCGAACCCTGAATCTCACAAGTAGAATATAAGCATAATACCTACGTGACCACTGGACAGCTGATCAGACCGTTTCTCCTTTTGCCTATGCGCGACACACCTCTCATCTCTGCGCTATCTTTTACAGTCATGGCTCGGTTTGAAATCTTCCGATTCTGACTACCTGTCACACGGAGATCCGATTCGATTAGTTGTAGTAGTTGTAGTTTTGTCATCGAAGCAACCATATGGTGCTTTCAAGATTTGCAGTTTATGCTTCGTTTACGCTGTATACGGCGAAGTTAACTACTAAATCTATTTCATTTTGTTTAAACAACTAGCCTTGTTCGGATTTAATAATCTCAGTTGAGTTCCGTTTCGATCGGTGTTGAGGTATATTGGCTCGCCCCTGCTGATAAGGATACTCGATACGGTTTTGAGCGTTGAGCAACAATCCTTTTCTGTTCTGTATGCGACAAATTTCATTTCATTTTGAGGGTCATTCTTTCACTTTTTCTGAAGTCAATTTTAAATTTTCCCCGTACTTCACGGATTTCTAATTGATATGCCTAGCACTTAAAAATTCGAATTCTTCAGCTGTGTTAAAGAACTGCCGTACTCCTTTCTGTAAACACGTTGCACCTTCAAGGTGATGCCAAAAGACTGGGTGTTGTCTGCCCCTTCTTTTAACCCCATATGGTCAGTATTTGACTGTGGTGGAGCTCTTCTAATACTTAAGCAGATGCGTGGCAAATGGTGGTGGTACAACGAAGCACTTGTGAGGCTCGAGCAGTTAACTCTGGACTGAAATACTCTCGGTGTAGACATGGCGTTTTACCATAATGGAAAGCTTTTGTATAGCTTGCCGCAGTGCGATCAGTTTTGCTGTATGGTTGTGATACCTCCAATTAGCTTGTGGAATAAATAAGCAGTATAGAACACACGGATAAGCAACCGTGAAGGGAGATGTAGTGTGTTTGTGGGATGTTGACACAGAAAATTCGTTATCGAATGGGTAAGCTTCTGTGGCTAGAACACGTATTGTACAGTCGTCAACTATACCTTAACTCAAATTTCCCGCTCCACTTTAGAGAAAACCACTTGGCGGTCAATAGGTGATGTAGAGATATTGCACCGGGCAACACGTGGAAAGATTATGAATTGAAGGTGACTCTATTTTTCCATGTTGGGGTCTGAAGGACCAACTGGTGTGTCGGAGACACTGAAGGAGACTGACAACAGTCGCGTTCTTTTCACTTGCTATTCGGTCCAAGTTGTCTAACTGTTGTGTACACAGTTAGAGTATGTGCTCCGTGTTAACGATAGGAAGTCGTCTTTTTCGTTCCGTCAAAACAAGTCCATTCTCCATTTAACTTACTTGCTTACTCAGCATATTTGTAGTTGGTGTATCTCAAGCATTCGCCAGCGATCAGCGAGGGCCACTTCACAGTAGTTCGCTGTAGGATGACGGTGCATTGCATTCTGAGACATTCGTCCTAAAACACGTGAAAATAAAACTGCCCTCGAAATGCCTTCTATTCATCAGATCAGGTAGCCAGCAGAGTCAAGAAACTTCAAGTTTTTCACTACCATGATAAGGATGATCCATGTGGGTCCATACAACCAACAAAAGAGCTTGTCATTGTTTCAGAGCTTAACTACTCTCTCTATGATTTAAGCGGTGGTGAGTGAGTATCGGTGATGCAAAGTCAATGGGTTTGAGTCTTGCTTTGTGGGCCGGTTTCCAGCCCGTTCTTGATCGATAATCGCTTTGATCGACTTCACCAATGTTAAAGACGTATAAACGCGCCGAAAAACATTAACTCTGTATCTGAGTCTTTATTCAATGCTTACTCTGCACCGTAGTCTTTGCGACCAACAAGACTGCGGATTTATTTCTCGTGGGTATTTTTCAACCTGAAACCATTCGTTTATTTTCATTTCATCCAGTTGAATTCACTGGTGGGAAAGGTATTTACGTGTTTTGTTAGATATTCACTGGTGTTTATTACTTGGCTAAGTATTAGTTGCTAGGATAATCAATAAGCGCTAAGAAAAGCAGCGCTTTTATCGAAGTTGTGCTTTCTCGGTGGTATAATTGTACATTGTATTGGGCCACAGAAAGCTAGGATTGACTTTTGAATTTCTTCATGTTTCCTCCAAATCCCCAGTGAATGTTCACTTCTGATCCCTTGTAAATAATAGAGGGACTGAGTTGTCTCGGACATCTTTATTTAGTATGAATGGTTGAATAAAAAATAGCTTTCACTTAAGTGCACGGGAATTATCACTGTAAATAAGCAGGCCTTTCCATAAATCAAACCACCGAGTTCATTTTTAGCCACTGAAGTAGCACTTTCGATCTTCAAAGCATGTCAGTAGTGGGTTTCATAGTACGGCATAGAGAACAGCCTTGTTTTCTGTGCTTTATAGACTGACTGGTTGAAACATTCTATAACCACAAGAAACTGGGTATGACAAAAGAGGTATGTGAAATTATTTGTCGTCGTTTGGTGGTCGAACTGGGTAATGTTATATGATCAATGATATGCCAAAAAATAGGAAAAATCGTATGGTTTTATTTTTATCATTAGTAATTCGTTATACGCTATTACTGCAACATCCGGTCTGTTCCATCTTTATTGTTAAATGTTTTCCCCACTGTGTACCACTGAAAAGAATTTATTTTGGGTAGTTGACAGTACCGAATACGACTGATGTGATCCCTTTTCAGTCTGACTTTTTTGTTTCACATGACAGCGACGCACACGATTTCCCCTTTGTTTCGGATAACATCTACTGTTGAACTTGAACTGACCCTTGGATAGTATTTAAAGATTGTTTCAAAATCGTTTGCTGCCAAGTTTTATAGAAGGTCTTTTTTCGGATACACGGTTTCTTTTGACGTTTACTGACCGGGAGATGAAAATTCTTGCTTCGCCATCAGTGTTAAGCTTGTGGAGAAACTCAGACTGTAAGTCGGAGCAATGAAAACTCATTGATCGTGTAGTGAGAGAAAACCAAACGGTTCTGGGTGCTGTGGTCCTAATAGCTGAAAACAATCACACTTCATCTAAGTGAACGCCCAGTTTGCTAGACACACATATCAACCCTCTTCGATATCTGATCCCTATTTTGTAACAAGTTTCACCTATTGACGGAATCGGTTGGTGTGGTCGGAGTTACAGCTGTTCCCAATACTGAGACTACTCGCCCTGAACTATGCAGTTCATTCGAC